CTGTTCCACAGGATTATAAATATGAGGAACACAAAGGCCGAATTCCCTTAATCATCCATCACAAGGAGTAAAACCAAAGAATATAGTTCTGAAATGCAGAACAAGATTGTTGAGCTTCACAAGATAGAAAGTGGCTGTAAGAAAATAGCTAAAGCCATTTCCACCATTAGGGCAATAATTGAGAAGTTCCAATCAACTAAAGATGTTACAAATCTGCCAGCAAGTGGCATTATATCAGCCTACTGCATGGTGAGGAGGAGAGTTTTAGTGGCCAAAGAGTCTTTTTGGCAGTAAACCCACCAAATGGGTTTGGTGCAAAGAGGGATAAAAAGTACCCCAAGCCCACAGTTAAATATACTGCTGGATCTTTAATGTTGTGGGCCTATTTTTCTGCCAGAGGTCCTGGACATCTTGTTCAGATACAAGGCATCATGGATTCTATCAAATACCAACAGATAAAAAAAATCTAAACCTGACTGCCTCTGTTAGAAATCTTATAATGGGCTGTGGTTGGATCTTCCATCAGGACTATGATCCAAAACAAACATCAAAATCAACACAAAAATGTGTCACTGAGCACAAAATGAAGCTTCTGCCATAGCCATCCCAGTTATCTGACCTGAACCCTATAGAAAATGAGTGGGGTGAAGTGAAGAGAAGAAGCACCAACATGGAGCTGGGAATCTGAAGATCTGGAGAGATTCTGTATGAAGGAATGGTCTCTGATCTCTTGTCAGGTGTTCTCCAAACTCATCAGGCATTATAGGAGAAAACTCAGAGCTGTTATCTTGGGAAAAGGATGTTGCAATAATTGGGTGCCAATAATAGTGGCCAAGTGAACTAGAGAAAAACATTTATTTCATAATGAGATTTTCCCCCCACTTTCTATTGTTTTACTTTAATGAAAGTTTCGAATTTTGTGAATTTTTTGAATGAAAGCTCAAAAGGATGCACGATGCAGATTTATTTTCACAGCCACCCTTGCTCATATTTACCAAGGGTACCAATATTAGTGGAGCGCACTGTATATCATACTGTAACTGCTGTGCAGTTCCTATATATAGTAATTGTATATATAACATAATTATAGATATTGTGGATTTTATATATTTACATAAACATATTTTTGATAAGTTTCAGTTTGTTGTATTATCTCATTTTTGGTCATTTTTTATATATTATCAATCTAACTACATTTGTTTTGTCCAAAATATATAAAATGTCATTTAAGATTGAAACTGTATTTTTCTGCCTTTTGAAGCATGTTTTGTAATAAGTTTTGGCATTTTAACCTTAAACTACATATAAATTATTTAAAATAAATGTCCTTTAGCTGTGCTGTTTACAACATATATTTAGCATATATTTGAAATATATAAATATAAATATTTGCTGTTTGGGGCAAACAGTTTGCAAGTCTTTTTTCACACAGCTAGTGCAGGCTGTATTTACATCCTGCTAATTTGGTTTACATATTTTGCAAACACAATGGGCAGATGATAGCATCAGGTAATCAAAAGAGCATCCTGTATTGTGTGTGTTGAACCATAATCCGCCCCTTTCCCCACACAAACACACAGATGCTAGCTGCTGGCTGCTTCCATTGTCTCCTCATCCACGCTGGGTGCTGTATCCAAGGAACCGGGAACCAAAATACTGTCTGGCCCAATGTGCTGAGCCAAGGTGACACCACATTGGGCCCTCGTCCTTCACATAGCTGTGCGATATTATGTAAATGGCCCTGTCTGGATACGGATTGCATGTGTGTGAGCATGGCCCCATGCTCTCCACTACCACTGGGAAAGAGGAGGGAGTGGTAATTCAGTGTAAATGAGAGCAAGACCTTGCTGTATTCTCGGAATCCTAAATCTGCTTTTCCTCCAATTGACCACCATACTGTGATTATCCAGAGGGATTGGACCGGGATTGCAGTCCTGGACTGTTTGTTCTGTTCGTTTAGTTAAATGAACTGCTCAAATGATAAGAAATGGCGATACATAAACACTCTTGTAAACACGGCTGCATTCTAGAGCATTCCCTGAGGGGACACAACTTTGTATCTCATAGAAGAGCAAATGGCGCTCAGCCTTTTAATTATAATCTCAAGTCTGGTTGGCCTTTTTAGCAGTATGTCAAAGTACATTTGATCTCAGCACAACTGTGGCACTGTGTTGAGGAATGTTGCTTTTAAAAATAACGTGTTATAGTATTGGGTTACTCATGAAAAATAACTAGTAGCTTTACTTAAAGGGATAGTTCACCCAAAAATGAAAATTCTGTAATTAATTACTCGCCCTCATGTCGTTCCAAACCCGTAAGACCTTCGTTCATCTTCGGAACACAAATTAAGATATTTTTGATGAAATGTGAGAGCTCTCTGACCCTGCATAGACAGCAACGCAACTGTAATGTTCCCAGGTCCAGAAACGTAGTAAGGACATCGGTAAAACTGTCCATGTGACATCAGTGGCTCAACTTCAGTTTTGCGAAGCTACGAGAATACTTTTTAAATGCAAAAAAAAACAAAAATAACATCATTTTTTCAACAATTCTTCTCCACCGAGTTGCATCTTCCGCCATTTTAGAGGGTATCACAATGCATACACATGCTTTCCCCTAAGCATAAACACTGCTGATTACGCAGATTACGTTCATGCGCGCGCTTTCTCCCCCAAACATAAACAACGCTGATTACGCTCTTGCGAGCAAATTCACAGCTGCTTTGATGCAATATCCAGATTCAGTCATTTAATATATTTAAAATCATTATATATTAATTTAATAATTTTATATACAGTATATAATATAAATTAATTATATTAAAATAGTTTAATATATAATATTAATTAATCCAGTATATTTAAAATCATTATTCTCTACAAAATAATATGTATGCTGTATATAAATAACCATACTGGTTATTTGGAAAAAAAAAAACTCATCTGATTACGTAACCCAGGTTTTATTTGTGCTGTGTTTCCCACAACACTGGTCTTGTAGACCTTATTTTGGCAGTGCAGACGACGGGAGTTCAAGCTGTCCCACTCTATCATTTGTCTTGATTCGATCAGAGACGTCTAATCAGTCCGGTTCTATAAAATCACAGGTGTAACACAACAACACGGCTCTCTGATGAAGAGAGTTTATAAAAAGCCCAGCTGTGCTCCCTGAGCATTTTAAAGAGTCTGCTCCAAGAGATCCAAGTCTTTTGTTTGTCCATTACGTGTGTTTACAGTACTCAATATTCTGGTGCGATCTTTTCATCATCGTTTCACATTCATCCTTCTTAATCACTGTTGAAGTCCCAAGCCCGCCACCGACCGCCTTTTTCTTTAAACACGGATGCTGATGAGTGATTCAGAGCCAGGAAAATAGGACGTTTGTGCATCCGTGTGCTTCTATGATTCAGAAGTGCTGTGTTTTGGAGCGGCAGAGAGTATGAGGCTCCAACATTTCTGCTTCACTCTGTCCTCATTGCTCTAAAGACCCATTTCCTGTGGCGGTGTCTCAGTTTAATGTAAAGCTCTCGCCGCTACAACACCTGTTTCCTCAATGAAAATAAGCCTACCTTTCTCTATCTTTGATCTCTTCATTCTCTCCTGTTTTTATTACAGATTCTCTCTCATTTGTGCAGAATATATGAACATGTTTTCTCTACTGGTAAAAAATATGCTTTTTTTATCTCTAATTAACCGAATGAACCACTAATGGTTTTCACTGATGGTTTGTTTGCTTATTCTGATATAATGACCACATGAAATGGGTTGACAAACTGTTTTATTTCCTTTGTTGGTGTATTTTCTGTTGACAGAGGAAGCAAAATCATGATTTGGGATGGACAGTGTCATTCTAAAGAGCATTTTTAAGAGCACTGAATGAGGATTCCTCAATAATTTTCTTTCTTGATAGGGAAAACTGTACAATTTCCTAGTGCTGGGCGGTATGACCAAAAATTTATATCACGGTATGTTTAATTAAGCGACATACACCGGTATTGTGGTATTTTAAAAATTCATATCATAACAAAAATAAACACCGGTATTCGGTATGAACCGGTATACTGCCCAGCACTACAATTTCCTTGAGCCACTTACACTTGAATATAATCATTCCGCCCCATAGTTTTCTGCCATTTTTTCTGCCGCTACTGGTTCAACCGAAGGCATTGCAAAATGGGGGCAGTCGTGGCCTAATGGTTAAAGAGTCGGGCTTGTAACCCGAAGGTTGCGGGTTCGAGTCTCAGGTCCGGCAGGAATTGTCAGTGGGGGGAGTGAATAACCAGCGCTC